CATGCATTTTGACACTTAGTCATGTCATGCATGATTGGAATGTGTGTTGTAAGCTTTTGGTGAACTTAGACATGCATTTTGACACTTAGTCATGTCATGCATGAGTGGAATATGTGTTGTAAGCTTTTGGTGAACTTTGACATGCAAGAGTTGCATGTAATTTGCCTATTTAAGAAGACTTTTGTTCAAACATCTAAATCTCTTGGAACCTTTGGCCATTTGATGTGTTTTCAAAAAGCTTACATAATTCCTTTTAGCTCCACTTTTCTCTAATTTTTTCCTTCTCTAAAAAGAGTCCCACCACTCTATTCCAAGCCTTGAGAATAGCTAGGAAGATCTCTTGGTGGTCCTTTATTGGAGCTATTTGAAGATTTTTGAAAAGCTACAAAGGTTTGTATTTTTCTCTACTTATCTCTAAGCATTGATCATGCATGTTTAATCCTAGATTGTATTATGCATCTAGATTGTTATTTCGATTTTTGCTCACTTCCGCTGCGCATGTATGTATTTTTTCCATCAACTCATGTATTCAAGAATTATAAAGCAATATTATTATTTATGTTTTGAAACCAACTGAAAATAGGGAAAAAAAAAATAAGAAACTTATTTTGGTTAGTTTTTTTTTAATTTCTATACAAATTTTGAGAAAATTTTATATAAAAATAAGCAATAAAAAATAATGCAAATAAACAAAACATTATCAAACATGCCGCAAATGGTAACCAAATGAGTTTGAAGTATTCAGGGAGAAGAGAAGAGAAAGAAGAAAAAAAAAAAGTTTGAAGTAATAATGTTTGTTTCCTCGTCATCTCACAAAGTTTACAATTTTGAACAGCGGAAGGTAATCTCCATGGCTTGGCCAATTGCAGAGGAGGCCATTACCGACTTCTTCGGCACCAACATTTTTCCGACAACCTTAACAATGGTCGACTTAGGTTGTTGTTCTGGACCAAACACTCTCATGCTTGTCTCCAATCTCATCAAACAAGTGGAGTATCAAATTTTCTTCAATGACCTCCATGGAAATTACTTCAATACCATATTTAGATCGTTGCCAAGCTTCCTACAACATTTGAAGACCCAAATTGGAGCTGATTTTGGTCCATGTTTCTTCAATGGGGTGCCGGGTTCTTTCTATACCAGATTTTTTCCCACTAAGTGTCCATTTTTTTCATTCCTCTAATAGTCTTTATTGGCTCTCTCAGGTCACTTCTAATAACCTACTTATTATATAGTAATGATCTTTTTGTTAATGGGTTGATAAATGAGTAAATTTGCGCGTGACGAGCAACCGATTTAAGCTTTTGGGTTTCATGACAGTTTAACATAGTATCAGAGGGAGGTTTTGTGTTCACGTCATTTTCTCTCCAATCAATATTGATTGCCACTTGTTAGGTCTTGTGAAAAATTTTTAAGTCCACAAATAAGGAGAATGTTACATTGTTGATAAATAATTAAATTTGCATATGTACTCGTAAGCTTAAGCTTTTGGATTAGTAGTGATTTAGTATATTTATTGCATATACTATGTACTATTATTCAACTTGAGCAATGGTAAAAATGGAATGCAGGTTCCTAAAGGGATGGAGAATAACAAAGGGAATATTTTCATGGGTAGTACAAGTTCGAGGAGTGTGCTTGAAGCTAATTATAGGCAATTTGGAAAAGACTTTTCGATGTTTTTGAGGTGTCGTGCCGAGGAATTGGTTGTTGGTGGACGGATGGTTCTAACAATTCCAGGAAGAACCATGGAAGATCCATCCAATAAAGAATGCAATTATGTTTGGGGGTTTTTAAATTCAGCTCTCAATATAAGTATGGTGGTTGAGGTAAAATATCATAATTAGTTTTAAATTGTGACAGAGATTGTATATATCTTTTTAGTATAATATTTTGTGTTGTAAATTCACTGCAGGAAATTTTAGAAGAGGAAAAAGTGAACTCATTCAATGTTCCAAGCTACATGCTATCGGTATTGGAATTGAAAGTCGAGGTCTTAACCGAAGGAAGTTTCACTATTAACCATGTAGAAGTCTCAAGAATTGATTGGAGTTTTTACGACATTGTTGACAATGGTTATGATTTTGTGAAATACGTACGATCCGTAGTTGAACCACTTCTTATTCATCATTTTAGAGAAGCAATTATAGATGAACTATTTTGTAGATATAGAAAAATAGTTGCTGATCACATATCAAAAGAGAAGATTGAATCTGTTAACCTCACAGTCTCTCTGACTAAAATAAATGGTGAAAATTAACTGGCTTTCTTTTTTTCCTTTTTATTTTTTAAGAAATTGGTACTACATTATGTGATGTTATGAAAGAACATTACGTCGTTAAAAAGATTGAAACTACATTATATAGTACATTGTTCTACTCAATCTACTTGAAATAAAATAGTCATCTGCTTTATTTACATAATTCTCGCTTCCTTGTTTGAATGAGAGATGCTTTAAAAAAATATATAATAGAACCATATAGGTTAATAAAATTATTGTACTCGCCAACACGAGCTTAGCTCAATGGTAATTGACACCTATCCCTAATCAAGAGATCATAAGTTCAAATCCTCCACTCCACTTATTGTACTAAAAATTAAAAATAAATAAATAAAAATTATCTTGGGGGAAAAATAACAAAGGTAATTAGAATAGATATTGAGAAACAAACACATAATCAATCATGTCAAGACACGGTTATCTAGTTCAACCACTCTGCAACTAGAGGTTGAGCTCAAAGCTCCACAACAACGAACACCTATCTTTATAGGAATTTTAGAACTATTAACTTAATATAAAATTAATAAGTTTTTAACCTCTCTTTTCCAAAAACGTTTTCTACTTAAAAGATAAAAAAAAATTCTTTTAATGTTAAAAATAATCAAAATCAATTGACCAAAAGAAATATAATAATTATACATCGTAAAGGTGTGACTATGCATTGAACCTTTAATAGTGAAATAATAATCTTTACTCTGGCTTTAGTAGTGGTCTCCAACTTGAACTCTAACGCTAAAGGGGAAATGAAGAATTATTATTCACACATAATGACCCAGGTGTTAGACATAAACTTTAATAGTTAGCACTTTAAGGCCTTGTGTTGATCCCAGTATTTCGTGAGTGTATTTAAGGATAAGTCTTATATCCTCATAGAGAGCAGTCTCACTCTCCCATTCATATAAGTAAAATTTGTCAATGGTGCTCCTTTAATAACGACACCCCACTCATAAGAGCCATAGACTTTATTAAGAGTTTATTGAAAAAACCCTCTGAAACGTTATAGGATTAATGCACTCACATCATAGGGATAGATCAAAATATATTAGTACTATTATAAATATTATTTCTAGATGCCAATACTTATTTGGTGTCAAAACCCCACACAAGACACTTGTTGATGATCCCTCATTTACCTATTATCACACATATCACCCACCATTGTTGACATTTTTATTATGCCCATGTTTTGTTTACTAGTGCTCAAGTTCAACTGCCTATATAAGCCCAAGAAAAAATTAAGGAAGATGTACAACTTGAGGAAATAAAAATTTCTTTTTCATAATTTTATTTGCCTTTGTTATTTCATTGTTTACATTAATGGTGTATGGGTTTTGTTCTTCAATTTCACAGCACTTTGTTCTTCAATTTCATAACAAGTTTTCAGCACGAGCTCCTGTCTTTTTCCCGATTAAAGGTAGGTTATTTGTAATATACATACGTTTGTTTATAATAGTGTTATCATGACAAATCTCACCAAATTAGAGTTTGTTGTCCTTTGACATCAATGGCAATAATTATTTGTCATGGATACTTGATGTTGAGATTCATTTCGATGCCATGAACCTGGAAGAGACCATCAAAGAAGGAAATACGACTACAACTCAAGATAAGGCAAAAGCCATGATTTTCCTTCGTCACCATCTCCACGACGATTGAAGATGGAATAAATAAGAATAAAAGGTCCTCGTGTTTTATGGCAAAATTTGAAAGAGATATATGATCATCAGAAAATAGTTATTCTTCCTCAAGCTCGATACGAATTGATGCATTTAAGGCTCCAAGATTTCAAATCAGTAAGTGATTATAATTCCATGTTATTTAAAATCAGTTCGAAATTGAAATTATGCGGGGAAAAAATTATTGATGGAGATATGCTCGAGAAGATATTTTCTACCTTTCATGTTTCAAATATGCTCTTGCAACAACAATATCAAGAGAAAGGTTTTAAGAAATATTATGAGCTCACATCATGTCTCCTCGTTGTTGAGCAAGATAATGAGCTATTGATGAAAAATCATGAATCTCGACCAAGGGAGCAACACCATTCCCTGAAATAAATGCTGTAAATTTTAATAATTGTGGTCAATGTCAAGGCCGTGGTCGAGGGCGTGACCGTGGCAGAGGAAGAAATTATTATTATTTTTGTGGTGGTCGTAATAATCATCCACATTTCAAAAGAACCACACGAAACGATGATCATAAAGGAAAAGCTCTAAAAGATCAGAGTTCCAGAAGTGTTGAAAATAAATGCTTCCGATGCGGTATGACTGGCCATTGGGCACATATCTATCCTACATTAAAACACTTAGTGGATCTTCCGTAAAAGAAAAGGAAAAAAAAGGTGGAGGCAAATTTTATATACCAGGATGGTGATATATTTGATCCTGCCAATATAACCAGTTTGGATGTGGCAGATTTTATTGAATCTCTTCAGGGACAAATTGGCACAATTGATGGAATTGTTAGTGCTTCTTTCGATCTTAAGAATATCTAGAATTAATGTTTTTTTCTAATACTAGTATCATTCGTGTTTTTTTTTTTAATTTGATCCAATGTATTCCAAGTTTTTTTTTTCTTTTCATTTTCTTATTGTAATTATTTTGTTTAATGAAGAAGCATGGACAGTTTTGATATGTTGGATGACTAAAAAATTAGCAATGAAGATATATGTCTAGCAGATACTGCAACTACGCACACAATATTGAAAAGTATAAAATATTTTTCCAAATTGACAATGCTGGAAGCAAAAGTCAATACAATATCAGGTTCTGCAAACTTGATTGAAGGTTTTAGAAAAGCAAATATTATTTTGTCTAGAGGAACAAAATTTTGCAATTGATAATACATTGTTCTCTAGTAAATCAAAGGGAAATCTATTGAGCTTTAAAGATATATGTTGCATGGTTATCATATTGAGTGATATGCTTCAAGCAACGAATATCACGCCATGAGGCTCAACCGATGAAGAAGGGGATCTCCACTTGAACATGTGGATTATCAAGCTTTACGAGTAAGGAGAACAAGTGGAGAAAGAAACTTCAAGTGAACATGAAAACACAAAACATGAGATCTCTAACTTTTAGGGGTTATTTAAAATTAGTGTTTTCATGTAATTAGAATTAAAACCTTCTTTTTGATTTAATGTAAAATTTATGTAATAGCTCTTAGAGCCAACTTTAGGTTTATGTAACTTAGTTAAGTCCATTTGTAACTAGTTTAGTCTAGGTTTAGTTAAAGTCATTTTCCTTTTATTTTAGGGAAATTCAAGATGCCTATAAATAGGCTTCTTCTTGTACATTTGAGGGGTGGATTATTGATGAATGAAAATAGTCATTGAGCTTTCTTCTTTGCTCCCAAAACCGTGGGCATTGGTGCTTCTTGATCTAGTTGCACAAAACCCTTGAAACATGCAAGTTTAGGTTGGTCATCAAACTTGTGGAGTGTTTCACTTTGGATCTAGAACAAGTTCTCTTCATCCAAAGCCTTGACCTTCAAGGTAAGTCCCTTCTTCTTTCCCTTGGGTGATTCTTTGTGTGTGTACTAGGTGTTGCCGTGTGTGTTTAGGAGGTGCTTGTTCTTATAAGTGTTGCCTAAGCCACTTGTGGTAGGGTTGAGTACATCATTGAGACTGATAACAAGAATAATATAGAATATCTCTATATTATATCTATTGTCTCACATGGTAAACGTATACTGGAAAAGTTGTCTGCTTTATCTTTTATATTATATTATACTCATATACGAGTAATTAAAACATATACAACAATGAACCTGAAGTTCATGAATCCATAAATATTTACTATTTGGCATGACCGGTTGGGTCATCCTGGGTCTATAAAAATGAGAAGAATTATCGAGAATTCACATAGACATCTGTTGAAGAACCAGAAGATTCTTCAATCTAATGAATTGATGCTTGCTCTCAAGGAAAATTGATTATTAGATCATCACCAGCTAAAGTGGGGACAAAATCACCTGCATTTTTAGAACGAATTTATGGTAATATATGTGGACTTATCAATCCCCCCAAGCGGACCCTTTAGATATTTTATGGTGTTAATTGACGCATCCAGTAGATGGTCACATGTGTGCTTATTATCAAGTCGAAACCTTGCATTTCCAAGATTACTTGCTCAAATAATCAAATTACGAGCACAATTTCCTAATTATATAATTAAGAACATTCGTCTTGATAATGCTGGTGAATTTACATCTCAATTATTTAATAATTATTGCATGGCGATTGGGATAAGTGTTGAACATCCTGTAGCTCATGTTCATACACAAAATGGTTTAGCATAATCATTTATAAAGTGATTGCACTTAATTGCTAGATCATTGCTTATGAGAGATAAACTTCCAACATTTGTATGTGATCATGCTATTTTGCATGCAACGTCACTTGCACGCAGTAGGCCAACAATCTATCATAAGTATTCCCCATTACAATTAGCTTATGGCCAAAAGCCAAATATTTCTCATCTGAGAATTTTTGGATGTGCAGTATATGTTTCAATTTCTCCACCACAATGTACTAAGATGGGTCCTTGAAGGAGACTAGGAATATATGTTGGATTTGGTTCCCCATCAATTATTAAATATCTTGAACCTTTGACGGGTGATGTATTTATTACACGATTTGCTGACTGTCATTTTAATAGGACAAATTTTCCAACATTAGGGAGAGGAATTAAGAAGTTGGAAAAAGAAATTATATGGAATGCATCTTATTGTCTCATTTAAATCCCCATACAGATCAATGTGAACTTGAAGTTCAGAAGATAATTCATTTGCAAAATATAGCAAATCAATTACCGGATGCATTTATAGATACTAAGAAAGTGACCAAGTCATATATACCAGCTGCAAATGCTCCATCGAAAATTGATATCCCAACGCAGCAAATTGCCATAACTAATGAGTCTGCGACACGCTAGAAGCGTGGCAGACCAATGGGTTTCGAAGATAAAAATCCTCGAAAAAGAAAAGTAGTCAATAATCAAAGTGGCTCAATTGATAATATAGATATTCCAAAAGAAATCCAAAACATGACTACTCATCAAGATACTAAGAAAAATCA